TGAGCTTAATGAACAGTGGCTGCAAAAAGAATTAACAGCAATGTCTGTTGTCATTTCCAATACAGAAAGTACTAGAAGCTGTTAAAGAACAGCATTGCGGGCAGGAAGATGAAAGAGTAGGCTGGCCTCTGTCCAGGAAGTGCTGGGAGTCCTCACGTACAATGACACTGCCAAGCAATCAGGGAGGGTGTTATCATCTAAGGTGACCACTAAAAGAAGCATACACCTCATAGGCTGACGCAGGGCCAATCACCCAAAACAAATAAACAAAAAAGAGGAAATACAACTGTTTCAAAAATCTGAATCCAAAAGTCAGCAAGAGAGAAAAACCAAAAGCAAAAATCAATAGAAAGTAGAGGGTAAGACGGTATTATTTAAGCCCAAATTAGTAACTACTTTAGACATAGCATAGCAAATACTCCAAAAAAAAAAAAAAGACTCAGGGCTGGGGTGTAGCTCAGTAGCAGAGCACACGCATAACATGCACAAAAGCCATGGGTTCAATCCCCAGCACTGTGAGAAAATAAATAAATAAAAACAATTCCATAAAAGAAAATCCTAAGTGCCTATAAGGGTGACACCTTAAATATAAGAATGCAGACAATCTGAATGTAAAAAGATGAACAAAGGTGTATTATGTAGTCAGTACTCAACAGAAAGCTAATCCTCTCAGTAAACTAGAAATAGAAAACTTCCTCAACTTGATAAAAAAATTTTTTTACAAAAACACAGCCAACAATATACTTAGTACTGAGAAACTAGAAACTTGACCACTAAGATCAAAAATAGGGCAAGGGGGCTGGGGATGTGGCTCAAGTGGTAGCGTGCTTGCCTGGCATGCGTGCGGCCTGGGTTCAATCCTCAGTACCACATACAAACAAAGATGTTGTGTCCGCCAAAAACTGAAAAATAAATATTAAAAAAAATTCTCTCTCTCTCTCTCTCTCTCTCTCTCTCTCAAAAAAAAAAAAAAAAAAAAGTAGGGCAAGGATGTTCCCTCTCACTGTTACTTTCAACTTCATACTAGAAGTCCTAGCCAATGCAATAATACAAGAAAAGGAAATGAGAGGTATGCAGAATAAGAGGAAATAAAACTGTTTGCAGATGGCATGATCATCAATGTAGAGACTCCTAGAACAACTGAGTAATTATAGCAAGGGTGAGATATAAGCTACAAACTAGGAGAAACTATTTGCAAAAGATACATCCAATAAAGGACTATCATCCAAAATACACAAATTATTAAAATTCAACAATAATGAAACAAACCACCCTTAATAAAATGGGCCAAAGATCTTAACAGGCCCTCCACCCAAGCAGATCTATAGATAGAAAATAAGCAGAAGAAAGGATGCTCTACATCATATGCCAAAATGGAGATGGAACAATAAGATATGGTTACACACCTATTAAAATGGCCATGGGCTGGGAATGCTCAGTTGGTAGAGTGCTTGTCTTGCATGCACAAGGCCCTGGGTTCTAATCCCCAGCACCACACAAAAAAATGGTCAAAGTTCAGAATATTCAGGAGACTGACATCATCAAATGCTGTCCCAGATGTGGAGCATCAAGAACTCGTGTTCATTACTGAAGGATTGCAAAATGCTTCACCCACTTTGGAAGACTGTTTGGTTTGCAGTTTCTTACAAAACTCAACATACTCTTATTATGCAATCAACAATCACGCTCCTGTGGGGTGTGCAGTGAAAACCACCCAGGGATGTTGGTAATGGCCTTCTTCATAATTGCCAAAACTTGGGAGCAACCAAGACATCCTTTGGTAAGTAAAGGGATAGATAAACTGAGGTACATCCAGAAAATGGAATATTATTCTCTGGTAAAGAGAATGAGTTATCAAGCCTTGAGGAGACATGAAGGAACCTTAAATGAATATTACCAAGTGAAAGAAGCCAATCTGAAAAGACTCCACACTGTAGAACATTGTGGAAAAGCAAAACCGTGGAGATGGGAAAAACGACTGGGTGAGGGATGTGAGGACGTAGAAGGGATGGACAGGCAGAGCACAGAGGGGTTTTAGGGCAGTGAAAAGCCTCTTCTGCTGGGGTGGGTACATGTCACCATACACTTGTCCAAACCCACAGAATGTGCACCACCAAGAGTGAACTCTAAAGCTAAYCACAGGCTTTGGGTGATTACGCTGTGTCGATGTGGGTTCATCAAATTCAATATCATGCTTCACTGGCAGGGGATGCTGATCATGGAGAAGCTAAGCGGGTGTGGGGCTGGGGAGTACATGGAAATCTCTTACCTTCCTTTGCTGTGAAATCCCTCTAAAAACGTTAAACCGTTTCAAAAGAGAAAAAAAAAAAGAAAACTGATCTACCATGCAATGCGAAGTAGATCGTAAGGCAGAAACTCTACTAGGGATGAAGGGGGAAGTTTCACAAAGATTAAAAAAAAAAGTCAACTCATCCCCAAGTTATGGGGGATGATTCTCAATTTGTAACCATGTAACAGCAGAGCAAAACTTGACAGCAGCACCAAACATGTTATCAAATATGTTCACACAAAATCTGTATGTAAGCTTTCTTTGCAGCATTATTCACAATAGCCAAAAAGTACCAACAACCCAATTAGTCAGCGGATTGTGGTGTGTCCATGTGGTGTGCCCACGTGATGGACTAATACTCAGCCATAAAAAGGAACCAAGTAGTGATACGTACAACATGGATGTCCTTAAAACCATGAAGAGGGCCAGAAACACAGGCCTTTCATACAAATAAACATTTACCCAAAATGTCCACATGGGAAAATCTGTGGACAGGAAAGTATACTAGTGGATGCCAGAGGCTAAGGAAAAGGGAAGCCGGGAGTGCTAGTGGGTATGGGAGGTATTCAGAATTTTTCTGGAAGGAGGGGCAATGAAAATTCTCTAGAATTAAACAGCAGTGATGGCTATGCAGCCTTGAACATACACTAAAAACTACTCAACTGCACTCCTTGGCATATAAGTCATATCTCAATTTTTTTTAAATACATGATTTAAAAACAACTTGTCAGAAATAAAAGGAAACACAAAAAATAATTGAAGATTTCCCCTCTCTGGATCATTGATACAACAAACCAAAATCAGTAAGGAGGCAGAGTTGAGGGGTTGGGGTGTGGCACAGAGGTAGAGTATTTGCCTAGGAACCAGGAGGCCCTGGGTTCAATCCCCAGTACCACCAAAAGGAAAAAAAAAAGGATATAGATTTGAGAAACATAATTAAAATTTTGTGCTACATTCACAAGAAAGATCCAGCAGCCATTGAGGAAAGGCCCCCACGGAGGCTGGGACGTTGCTCAGTGGCAGAGCAAGTGCTTGACATGCTTGAGGCCCTGGGTTCCATCCACAAAACAAATAAATCAATAGTAAGTCAGTCGCCTTTGGCTGAGCGTTTACTATGGACACAGCAGGGACCAGGCCTCACGGTCTGCGCTGTAGCACCTTCACCCACTTCCCTTGTTAACACACCTCTCTCAAGAGCTGAGGAAATGGGGGTGTGGGGCCTGCAGAGAGGKTGTCTGGCCCCAAGTCACTAGCTTGCTTCTGAACCCCTCCTATGCACCATCTTCCAGGGCTTAGTTCATAAATCTGACGAGGATCTTTATTCACATAAAAAGACACCAGGGTGCTGGAGTAATCAAGTCTGATGCAGACAGCAACAAAAATATAAACAGGCACCTACTGTATACAAGACAGTGAGAGTTTTAAAAATAGCAACAGCTTCTTGAGTCCACCAGCTGGTAACTCAAAGTTGCAAGCGCTAACATCTTTCACCATGGACCCTCAAGACGACCTGCCAGGCAGACCCATCCCTCTCCTACTGATGAGGAGCGAGATGACCTCGCCAAAGGAAGGATGCTGTTCCTAAGTGTCGGGACACTGGAACAGACGTGACCCTGGAATGCAAGCGGTGAGAGGCTTCTCTACTACATCAYGATGTCACACCTTCCCGGCATCACCAGGCCCCTGACGGAGCCCGGAGACGGGGCACCCTCCTAGCAGGTTAGTTGATCTTCAAAGCAACCCGGAGGAGCCAGTGACACAGAAATCACAGGGGTATATAAATGAGGAAACCAAGAGGGGGCAGGTGTCTCTGACAGAGAAATGTACACCTGGGCATGCCCCACCCACCAGGCAAGACCACCAAGAACCCTAAAGAGAGGAGAGGTGGAAGGCCACCTGATACAGACCCTGAAGTTGAGACACTGCTGTCTTGTCATTTAGCAAACCCGTTTTTATTCTGTTGTTATACTTCGTGGATTTTATGATGGGATGATAACTACAGGCTTCTATTGATCACATCCACAGTGACACTAGATCAGAAAGACAGTGATCACCTTTGTAAACAGCTTCACTGAACAAAGCTGCCCTGGGACACGGCTAAACACAGACACTTAACACAGCCATTCCCKGGGCGGGGCTATGCACCTACCTGACCCCTCTTCTCCAGCACAGGAAAAAAACTAACAGGTTTGTCTCCCAGGTGGCAAGCGACCTGCATTATTAGACTTCAGGTTCACCAGATCCACTTGATGAAGGAGTAGAATCACACTCAAGAGAGGGTAAGTGGTTTAGCCAAAGTCACACAGCTAGGAAGCAGCAGATCGGGGACAAGAATCCAGGCCTCCTGACAGGGAGGAGGGACACCAGGATACAGAACCACACACCAAAGCCATGAAGGGTGGCAGGACTTCTCTGAATGTAGATGAAGCCAAAACAGACAGAACAAGCTTTGGTCCTGGGAGGGCTCTGAACAATCACCCAATCCACCCACCGTACAGAAGGGTAAACTGAGGACCAGTCAAAGAAAGCAACTTGCCAAAAGTTAAACACCTAGAAGAGGAAGACCAAGACCAGAAAGCAGGTCCATCATGACCCGGTTCTCAACCCCCAGCAATCTGGAGAGAGATTTGAGGAATCTGGTATGGAATCGGCGAAGAAATCAATCCACAGGGCTTTGTGTTTTCTTTTTTTTTCTTTTCTCTTTAGCRGGTGTAAGTCATGCACAAAAAAAGTATAAGGTGCCATCTGGGACCCTGAGAAGTTTACAATCTAGCAAGAAAAAACAGGCATGTGCACAGAAAAACCAGATCAGCAACATAAAACTTCAACCCAAGCAGCAACTGTGTSAAGAATTTAAAGGAGACAGCAACGGGGCTTGTTGCTAATCTCCCTGAAGGAGGGATCKGGAAGGCGGGGTTTTAAAGCATGAATACGAGTCCACGAGACAGAAAGGAATGGGTACACCTGCTCAGAAAGGGATTCCAACTTATAAAAGGGTTTTGAGAGACAGCTGAAGCTGAGTCTTGGGGGCTGGGAGCCTTCCATGCTAGGCCAGGGCCTGGGGACTTGCATCTGTGCAACGAGCGGTCTTGAAACATCTGGGGKAGCAGGACAGTCGGAGGTCTCGGAACTCTTCACAGAATTTCACAAGTGACTGATCACATTTCAACATTAGTGTCAGAAAACACAGCTGTGCTGTGTCTGCAGTGTGAACCGCGAGGGCGGGCAGGCGACACCAGTCCTGCCGCCACAAGGACCCATCCCTTCCCAGCGTTCCTGCTGGAGGGTCATCTGCCCCTTAACTCCTGCTTCTGTCCTGAGCCCTGAGGCTAGCAGACCACAAACCAGGGGCCACTGTGGCGGAGACAACATGGGGAGAAAAACCTAGGAATGCAGGAAAGTCGGAGAAGCGGCTTCTCTTCTTCAGGGAGGAGAGAGGCAGTGTCACAACTTCAGAGTCAGAGGCAAAGAGCAGTGCCCACCCTGAGCCTCGGTTTCCCCACCTGACACAAAGGGGCTGGGGAGAGGAGCACCATGAGACCAAGCTCTGGACACAAGACTCTCCCCGACGGGTCCTCTTCACATCTCCTGGGCTCTTTGGGTGGTGAAAGGAATGAGGGTGGCCTTCAGCCACGGCCACACTTCCAGGCYGCACAGAGAACAGCAGGACCAGCTCACAACCACCGGCTTCAGCCCCGCCAGGGGTCAGCAAGGGACRCCGGTGAGGTGCGGGACACCGGCACAAGCCTGGCATCGTGTGACTGACCCCGTCTGGTGCGGCCCCCGTGCTTCTCTCCTCACCAGGGGCTTGCCCCTGGCCACCCTGGGCTGTTGAGGCCTCCTCCACTTCTCAGTCCTRACAGCAGATGAAGATCTTGTCCCTAGGTCACCTGGCCAGGAATGGACAACACCCTGTGCCCAGGACCTGGGCTTCTATGAGCTGGCAGGGGCACGGGATCCTGGGAGAGTCTGTGTGCCGTGTCCCCACTCCCTGGGGCAGCTGGGAGGTCACCAAGAGTCGGATGTAGTAGCCACCAAACACTGCCAGCAGCTGTCGGGCCATTTCCTGCAAGAGGCAGAGAAGCAGAGTGAGGCCACAGGGACACACCTGAGGCTGGCACCCGAGGCTCTCAAAGACTCTAGCCCCACCTAGAACCCAGCTCAAAGGCTCCCTGGCTAGGGGCTGGCGCAGCTGGGCTTCCTCATCTCCAAGGGGGTAACTAATGTGTGTGGATGATAAAACGCACAGGGACTGGGGCTGGGTGGTAGAACACGGGCTTAGCRTGCATGAGGCCCTGGGGTCAATCCTCTGCAATAATAATAATGATTAATAATAATAATAATGGACACATAACCTCAAAGCACTAGGGAAATTACCAACCCCCCTCACACACTCTTCCCATTTCGAATGTCCATGAGTCTGTAAAAGTAAGTGAGGTCAAGGTGATCACTTAAGAAGAAGAAAATGAGGACCTGGGGAAATTTCCCGTTGGAGCAGGAGTCTCCAGTTCACACAGAGCACCTGGTAGGTCTCTTTATACAAGCACTCCTAATGTATTAAAAGGTTGCTTATAAAAATTGGACTTCACCCAAAAGGACAAACACGGTCCGCTGATGTCCAAATGCTGTCTCTACTACATAAGGCACCTGGAGCAGTCAATTCACAGCAAGAAAAGGCAGAAGGGCGGCCCCAGGGGCTGCGGGGAGAGGAGGGGGCAAGCGTTACGGGTGTGGAGCTTCAGCATGGGGGGCCGAGGGTGCTCTGGAGGTGGTGGTGCTAACACCGTGAACATAATCAAAGCCACTGAGCTGTATACCCAAAATGATTAAGATGGTGCACTTCATACTATCTACACTTTACCAAAATGAAAACAATTAAAATGTACTTTGAAGAATTGAAGAATTTCAAAGAATTTTAAAAATTGGAATTAATGCATGCTGTTAACACACCCACTAGTCTAGCAGGTGAGATTCGAGGGAAACGTGCTTATTCCTAGAGCATATTCAAGGTCTTTCATAAGACCACTGTCCACTCCAAATGTAATGAAATACGCTGCGGGTTTCATCCAGGCAACTTGTGCCTATAGAGTCAGGAATGAAGGTAGCCATGCCMATCAAGAAGGCCACGGGGAAAGGCAGGTCCTCCCCTCTGCACTGACCCTGAGCAGTGGCCCCGCCTGCTGAGCCCAAGTCTTCCTGAGTAACAGGGAGAACCATCGCACCTACCACCTGAGTGGGGGAGGGCTGTAGGAGCCAACGGATCGAAAGCATTTAGCCAGGGCCTGATAAACAACATCAATAGCATTACCATTATCACACACAAAACTCAGAAACCACCCGGTTCAGAGAACAGCTTTTTGTTTGACTTGTTCTTTGTGCTTGAAAATGTCAAATAGTCTATCACTCATCGGATTGGTTTTCTCACCAATTTGGTCTGGAATCAATAACATAAGAAGCTAAGAACTGTAGCAAGAAAATTGGCTAAGCTACATTCTCCCTTGCTCCATGACCTTGGGTGAGTCAGCCAACCCCACAGAACCTATCTTTGCCCATCAAAAAGGGAAAGTAACCCCCACCACAGAGAGTGTGCTAAAGCATTTTATGCAGGACAAAGATCTGTAAAAATGGAAAAGGTCACTTTAACTATCTGTCTTTTACAGACTCTGGGCTCACAGAAATAGGACAGTGCAGACTATATGGAGACTTGGGGAGTGAYTGCGTTTTCCCTAGCTAAATTACAAGAGCAGCTCCTTTAAAACTAGGCACACATACACACTTGATATTCAGGACAGGAAATTTTACTTCTATGGATTTGAAAACATCATTTAAAAGACCCAGGTTTAATGGGCTATTGCACCTAASCCCAAACACGCATGCCACAATAAAGTATGTGACCTTATGAATCTTTTCTGCTCTTTAAAAAAAAAAAAAAAAGTCAATAGGATCCAAGTGAAAAGATTCATACAGTCATCACTTTCTCTTTGAAGTAGTCCTACTGGCAGGCCTCCAACTCCCACGGGGGCAAAAGAGGGGAGTCGGGGCTGGTTTGARCCTTGAAGTCCTAAAGATTAGTGCTGAAATTAAATCAAAGTGATCTCCTAAAGTTCCAAATGTCCCCCAAGGTCACTCCTTGCTGCTTGTCTCCCTGACTGTGGGTCTATGCTCCTGGTTTAGCTTGACCCAAGAGGCAGCTTGGGTAGCAGGACCCACAGAACTGGGGAGCTGTGGGAACTAGACTGCAACAGAATTCAAAGACTCATATCAAATCCAAATATCCCACRGCAGTTTAAGTAGAGAGATGGAGGGGTGGTAGGACAGACGGGTAGATGATTGGTCAATTGATTGATAAACATGTTTTAAAGATCAGTATTGACAAAGTAAGCTTTAATCTGTCAACATGAAACTACCATCCAATATTCAAGCTGAGTACAGCAGAGCGCGCCTGGGATCCCAGCAGTTTGGGAGACTAAGGCAGGAGGATCGCAAGCTCCAGGGCAGCTTGGGAAACTTAGCAAAACCCTGTTTAAAAATCSAATTAAGGACTGGGGTTGTGGCTCAGCGGTAGAGCGCTCGCCTAGCGTGTGCAAGGCCCTGGGTTTGATCTCCAGTACCACATAAAAATAAATAAAAATAAAGATATTGTGTTCAACTACAACTAAACAATAAACATTTTTTTTTTTAAATCAAATAAAAGGACTGGGGAAGGAGCTCTCAGAGGTAAAGCACCTCTGGACTCAATCCTCAATACAGGAAAAAAAAATCCAAGACACTGAAAAACACAACCAAAAATCCTAATCAGTACAAAACAATTTCTATARATTATTTGTTAAGGTGTTGAGTAGGCAAAAAGAAAGTTCAAAGATTCGGGCTTCAAGGTTTGGATGGTGTCTACCAACTCAGAGGAGCCCACGGAATCCACACCTACACGGCCACCTCCTCTCAGGAGGAGGATGGCCCCCAGTCTCAGTGCCTGTTACCTCSGGCTCAGCCTCGGGAACGAGCTGGTGGAGCTCCGTCTGCAGGAGCGGTCTCTCCTGAGGWCGAGGACTGCTGGGCAGCAGAGGAGCCTCCTCCGAGCTCTCGGGGCCCTCCGCCATCGTGGGGCTCACCCCCGTCTCCAGGACAACATATAACTGGCTCAGTCTGCTTCTCAGCAAGGACTGCAAAGGAAAGAGAGGAGTGTGGGTGCTTCCTAAATTGGGTGGGGAGCTGGGAGGCACAGGCTGCCTGCGCTGCAGACCCAGCGGAGGATGAGCTAACTATGGACTCAATGCTGGCCTYAGAAGTATCTGAAACTGAGTCACCTGGTGAGGGCCCCTCCTTCCCCATAAGAGCCCAGCCCTTAATGGCCTTATAAAGGGCTCGCCTTCCAAGCTCTCATTTGCTCCTCAAAGTGGCAAGGAGCCCAGGGCTCAGAGCCCGGAGGCTCAATCCCCCACCGGCTACAAGACCATGACCACAGACAGGCTGCGGTCTCAGAGCCTGATTCCTCCTCTGCAGAATCAGTAAGATCTCCCCATTTTCTGAATAAATGGTAGAAAGCACTTTGAAGAAGTGAGAGTCACCTAAACCCATTATACCTTTGGATCCACCAGAGTTGATCATTAATATGACTCTGAGTATAAAGAAATACATATTCAGCCAAGCTTGGTGATGCACACACACCTGTAATCCCAGTGACTTGGGAGGCTGAAGTAGGAGGATTGCAAGTTTGAGGCCAGCTCAGCAATGTAGTGAGACCCTAAACTACCTTGTCTCAAAATAAAAAATAAAAGGACTGGGGATRGATGTAGCTCAGTGCTAAGTGCCCCTGGGTTCAATCCCCAGTACCCACCCCATCAAAAAAATTGGAAAGCAGAAAAGCAACCACCAATTTCATGAATTTCATGCAGGGCTTCTTCTTTCTAAGGTACTTTTTCTTGGATATTTTTCCAGTGTTAAGGCAATGTGGTCTACACAGTCTGGCCTCCTGGTTTATTTTGCTGGTGTTGTATGGTTACGAGAGCTTACCTCTTGGTTAGTCTTCATCTCCTGAACGTGTTCAGACAAAAACTGCACGCAGTCCTCTAGGTCGAAGTAGACAAACCAGAGCTGTGCAGAGAAGAGCCAGGCCCCGTGACTCGCCCGCCAGCAGCCTCCCACTCCCAGCCCGGGGCACACCCGCTGCTCCTCACCAAGGACCACCCTTCTGAGGAACACCCAGTTTGTTCCGCTYTCCCCGAGCCCTCCACCATGACCACGTCTCCTCTGTACAGCTGGCAGGAAAAAAATGACTTTGCGTTCAAAGTTGGAAAATGTCCAGTCCTGTACCAAATGGCAGTGGCTTCATCCCCCACAGGTCACCGAGCATCCCAGAGAGAAGCTAACCCTTCCTAGAGCAGGGCATGTGCACGACTGTCATCCCAGCAACCTGGGAGGCTGAGGCAGATGGACTTCAAGTTGGAGGCCAGCCTCAGGAACTTAGTGAGGCCCTCAGCAACTTAACAAGACACTAAAACAAAGTGAAAAACAAAAAGGGCTGGGGTGTGGCTCAGTGGCAAATACCCCTGGGCTCAATCCCCAGTACCAAAATATTAAAAATCAAAAAATAAATGAATAAACCCTCCTGGCCATCACTGTTCTTCTGGGGCCACCACCCTCATCCTCTGTAGTCAGGGCATATTTCTGCCTGGAACCCAGATGGACCAATGAGTGGAACCCTTCACAGACGACACCTCCATTGCTCATGCCCAGATCCAAGGTCATCACCTTGAGTGCTCTGGGGGAGGGAGCAGGGTAAGCCTCCACCTCACCTCTACCTCACCTTCCACCTCGACCTCAGCAGTCCCCAGGAGGCCAGGCCACACTCACAGGCCGAATCTTCCAGGGCCACACGTTATATAACACCTTGCCATAATCACAATCCAAGTTCTAAAAAACGAGGGGTGCCCCTAGCCTCCACCTCCACGCACTGGYCACGGCCCTCCACCCGGTGTCTGCCCCACGAGAGCCAAGCACACCGCCCACTGCCAGCTGGTCTCCCACTGTCTCATCCAAGGAGAGGAGTTTTGTCAAAGCTTTTTATCCTAATGATTTCCAAACAGGTACCAAAGTAGGCGGCAGCCCTCCCTCCTCCTGTGTCAACTACTGTCCCCTCATGGCGACTCCTGTTTCCTCTCTACCCTCTCTCCTGACATCACAACACCCCTGCACACCCTGGCCATTTTGACACTGGGTCCCCTCATCCCCYGATGCTATTTTGAAAATGACAAGACACAGTTGCCTGAAAAGGAGTGTCCATGCACCCGGCCTCCAGCCCACCACCATCTGACATACCAGGTCACCCCTCCCCATGCCAACTGATAAARCAGAGCCAGAGCTCAGAGAGGCTAAAGGGACCAGCAGAAGCTCCCTGTCCACAAGGCCACACTCTGGTGATGTACCTGGTTCACCCCCTGACGTTGGGCTCATGTGCTCAACTCCACAGGCAGAGATCTATGTAGTTCTCTGCTGCTGCTTCAGCAGCTAGAACATGTCAGGCACATAGTAGGCTCTCAATAAACTCCTGTGGGATAGACAAGGCCTTTGCATAAGGATTCTCCCCAGGCCCTGTGCGTGCCCACCCCCAGGCTCCTCCAGGCTCTTTAGTGCAAGGGGGAGAGCAAACACGGTGCCAAGGAGATGTGGCAACCCCACTGGGCAGAGTCCAGCTAGGATCATGACCGCCAGCCCCAGTTGTGTCCCAACCCACTGTGAGACTTTGTACTTGTCACCTTAAGGCCTCCCCTCTGACTCTAGGATATAGAAAATGACTGAGCCAGGTAGACAAGGCCTTCAGCACCTGATCTGCCCCTCCAGCCTCTGATCTGCCCCTCCAGCCTCATCTCTCCCAGCTCTGTCCTCCCTGGTGGCTCCTCATGGTCCTTCAAAGTGCCCTGTCTGCCTTGCATCTCAGCCTTGCCAGGGCCTTTCTTTGCCCCAGGGCCAGCAAGGCATTGTGACCATGTGACCACATGCCTGCCATCCTCACAAGCCTGTGAGCTGTTGCTGGCTGGACACCTTGCAGGCCTCTGGTATCCTTCAGTGCCCACAGGGGGCTCAGCACCAAGGAGCTGTCCGGAGCAGGGAGGAAGGGGGGGCCTGTGACATCCCCTCACCTGCAGGCTCTGGACCTGCTGCACATGCTGGGAGATACAAGGCCAACTGTCCTCAGGAGCCCAGATCAAAAGTGGCCACCAGGGAGAGGCCACTCCAAGCCACAGTACCTGGATCACACTCTGGCACCCTTCCACGGTGTCCGTCACCCCCAGTAGCACCCGGTGTCTCAGCAGGGCTCTGTTGGCAGCCGTGAGCCTCAGGTCTGTATTAGTGTTAGCCTGTAAGACAGATGCCAGGCCCATGGTTGACCCCTGTGCTGCCAGGGAGCTCCTGGGCCACGGCCACACTGTCCCACCCTGGACACCACACAGCAGCCTTCACCCTCAGGACTTGCACCTCCTCCCCTGTAAGTAGGGCCATTGTTGGGTCAGTAAATTCAAGAGTATCAGGCAGCCCAGGGCAAAGCCCGCCTCTTCTACCTCCAGGGGTCTGGCCCTGGGAGTGATGTCCCTTCCCTGGGCCCTGCTGTCTTCAGTTACAGAATAAGGAGTAAACAATGTCATTGACAGTGAAACTGGATTCAAAACATCACATTTCCACTGTCCCTGCCTCCCAGGAACGCAGCGAGGTTTCACTGGGATGGGTGGATGAAGCTCTTAACCCAGGCTGGGGCGCATGGGCAACAGCACTGCGGGGGTGGGCGCGGATGGCCTGCCCACCTGCTCTCGGAAAGCATGAGTCTGTAAAAGGCCTGCCTCTGAAGACCCGGCTGGGGCCTGGGCCTTGTCCCCCTCAGGCCAGCCCTTCCTATACCGGGTAACAAGAGGGAGGAAAGGAGCTGGTCCAGGTGGAACTCTGAGGGTAATGGGCTGCGGTCAGCTAGCGACAGCTTCAGATGATGAAACCCAGTTTAGCACGTGGTATTTCCCACGTGGCCCTGGCCACAGACACATTCTCAGGAACCTGCTTAGCAATGAGCGTGGGTGCTGGGCACAGTCTCGCCTGCCCTCCCGAACCTCCTGCTCTCAAGGAAGGGCAGCAAGGCCAAGTGAGGAAAATCAGGCAGTGGGTATGAATCCTGAGGCTCCTGTGGGTGCAAGGGACGTGGGTGGGGCACCAATAGCAACACTGGCCAGGAGCCCGGGAGTGGGGATCTGTATGGTCCTGAGGACCAAGAAGCCCCAGAGGTTAGAAGCCCTTGAACTGAGACCCAGAGGAGGACCTAAGGAGAGCTGTGTGGCCACAGACTCGTCACTTCAGCTCGCTGGGCTCCAGGTTCCCCACCGGCAGACAAAATCAACAGTAATGACATGTAATACCTGAGTAGCATTTACAGTATAGCAAGTAGTACCGTAAGCACTTTTCATGAATTAAATTATTTCATTTGCACAAAAATCCCACAGTTATTTTGCCSCACATTAGAGGTGAGGAAACTGAAGCTCTGCAGGTTAAATGGTAACCTGCTCCAAGCTGAGGGCTAACAAATGGCAGCGGTGTCCTGGGCACATACTTCAGGCCCTAAGCACAGGGCACACAGCAGGTGCTCAGGACACAGGGCTCACTGTTAGGAGTTTCCAGAGTGAGCAGATGGCCCAGGAACACTCCCTCGGTGCCCCTGGGCCTTTGTGCTGCCTGTGAGAGGCTGGGCCTTGCTCATGTCTGTGACCTGTGCCTAGCACATTACCTAGAACTCACAGGGGCATCACAGCTGCCAGCTGAATGAAAGGAGGGGAGAGGCGAGGCGGGGCGCCCACACAGGCGTCCCTGACCACATGGCTTGCATCTGCAGCCTCCTGGCGGCTGAGTGCCAGCCATTCTCCTGCCTCTGCTCAAGCACATCACTTTGCTTTTTCCTCTCCCCAAAGAAGCTTCCTGCTTCAGGAGCAGCTTGCTCCATTCATTTCTTACCAGCCAAGCACAAGGGCTATTGGGGGGAAGTTTCAGCACAGCCCGAGGGCAGTATTATCTTGTCAGCCTGGTGATAAAGCCCAACAAAGATCCTTTCAGAATGATTCAGCCATAAAATTCCTATTTGTCTCAGTGAACACAGGAGACATGTCCTAATGACATTTCCCCACATCCTGCCCTCCCCTTCTGAGTAGGAGCCTCGTGCCTGCTGAGAACCTGGGGGACCCAGCACTGTGCCCAGGGCTGCAGGATGCAAGGACAGGAGCTTCCCTGTCACCAAGAGACAGCATCAGTGTGCTGGGCAGAACGATGGTCCCTCAGAGACACCTGAGTCCTATTCCCCAATCCTGTCCATCTTCTGGGTGGAGGCTACTACAGTTTACAGGTAGGGAAGCTGAGTCTCAGAAAGGCTCTGGGACCAGCCCAAGGTCRTGCTGCTGATCAGTGGCGGAGCTGGAATCCCAGGCCAGGATGCTCAGATTCCAAGTCATGTTCTTGGTCAGCACCCTGCTGTTGGGCCAATTTGTGACTATTGTTAGGTGGCAAAGGGGACTGGAGTGCAGGATGGACTTCGTGCTGCTACTCAGCTGACCTTCAAGTGCTGAGATTATCTTGGATTAGCCAGGGGGTGTGATATAATCACAAGGGTCCTTCAAAGGAAATGAGAGGCAGGAGAATCAGAGCCAGAGGAGGTGTGGCTTTGAAAGAGGAGGAAGGGACTAGGAATGCAGCAGCCCWAGAGGAGCTGGGAAAGACCAGTGGACAGATTGTTCCCTGGAGGGAACACAGCCTGCCACACCCGATTCTGGCCCTTTGAGGCCTGGGCTGATGATCACAGAAGCGTAAGTTAATTCATAACATTGTTTTAAGTTTACAGCATTTTGTTACAGTGGCTCCAGTTCCCACACTGTAGAGTTCGCACTAAGAACATGGCTCAGAATCTGAGCCTCCYGGCCTTGAACTCCAACTCGGCCACTTACTAGCAACACGGCTGTGGGTTGCCCACAGAGCCTTCCTGAACTTCGGCTTCCCCACCTTAAACAGAGTCCACCCAAAGGACTGTAAAGCACTGAACRGAGGACTTACTGTACACCAAGAGCACTCAACCCATAACAAGAGACACACATTCAAAGAAACTACAATTCATGAGCCGTACCTTACAATGGGAGGGGTTGACCTCCTCTTCAAAGGTGATCAAAACCTTCAGAGGGTTCAGGATTTGAACCCTGGCTCTGCCACTTATAGTGGAATCCAGGAGAAGTTACCTAAAGTCTGACCACCCTCAAACTCAGGCACCCAGTGCTGCAGGGAGGTGGGCTCGTAACCCTCTTGAGCTTTCTCACAGGGCTCTCATGCACACCCAGGGAAAGGTGAGTGAGCAGCTCAGTCAGCTCAACTGACTCAGCACCCTCTTGCCAAGTTCTTTAAAACAGCTTGCTTCCAGGAAAAAAAAAAAAAACCCACAGGGATTAGATGAGAAAAACAAAGCTCTCTAGCTCTCTGGCATGAGGCAAGCAGCTTGGCTCCCCTCCCCATGTGCTGCTCCTGGGACATGCGGCCTCACCACAGGCCCCAAAGCAGCAGGGCCAGCCAATCAYGGACTGGGACTTCCCAAACGATGAGCCGAAATAAACCTTTTCTCTTTTTAAGTTGATTAAATAAAAGAAAGAAAAAGAGGACTTGGTCCTGATTGTGATTTGATTTCTTTCAACCCTGGTGCATGTGGGCCAGAGTGAATTTTCATGGCAGGAGGGATTCTTTAAAAGCAGGCAAGAGGAAAGGCTGGCTTGGGACTCTCAGGCCCACCCAGCCTCTGGAGGGAGCATGGCAGGGGCCTCTGGACATCTCACCTTCCTCTGCTGCCTCTCGAAGACCAGCAGGAGAGTCAGGGTCAGGCTGACTGCGGCCAGGGTCACGAGCAGCACGCCCGCCCAGTGGCTGCCCAGGGCAAACATCTGGCTGGTTGAATAGATGTTGGCCCAGATCACCACGTAAAACACCTGCGGGAAGCCAGGGGAGAGCACAGTCAGGAACCCCCGTCCTCAAACGAAGCAGCTCCACTCCCAGGGACACGGGCATAGGCTCCYGACACCCTCCTGGGTTCAAACAGCTCACGGGCTGGAAGAGACCAACTCCGGATCTATGGGAACGGACGTGTATTCCCTGTTTATAAGCAAAAGCGGACCACAGGGCTTTCAGCTGCTCCCAAGCCCTCTTTATCCTGATTTTAAATAAAACAGAAAAAGAAGAGGTCTTTGAAGAAAGGTAAGGTTGAGTCTGAAACCCACAGTGATCCTTAACTGGCCATTCAGCCTTTCATCTCTGAATCTCAGTTTGCTCATCCGTAAAGTGATGATAATAACGGCTACTTTGGGGGGTTGCTGCAAGAGTTAACAGGGTAACACAGGTCGCAGCCCAGTACTTACTAGAGAATTAATAAATGCTGATTCTCACTCCTTCCCCTTCTCCCCAGAAGAGGGAGGTGAGAGTCAGCCATGCTATCTGACCAAGGATTCACCAAAGAAGCAAGTCGTGGTGGTTAAGACCACAGATGCAAAGGCCAGACGGCTTGTGTTCAAACGTATGTATGTGTTTGTGAGTGTAGATGTATGCGTATGCAGATGTAGTGTTCACATGTACACATACACACATGTGCGCATACATATATACATACATGTGTATATGACTAGAGCTGGAATGGACCTCTCTGTGAGCAGAAGAGGAAACCAAGTCCCAAAGAGGAGAAAAGACTTAGCCAAGGTCAGACACTGAGTTCAGAGCCCGGTGGTCTGCAGATTCCCAGTCCAGGTTCTGCCCATAGGAAACCCCAGCTCCCACCCTATATGCAGGGACTTGGTTACAACTCTCTCCCACAGATCTCTTCAAGTGCCAAATCCAGGCTCATGTGGTACCGCTCTTCCCCAGGCAATTAAATGGGTCACCAGCTGCCAAGTCCCTTATCTGCTGCAGGATACAACACYGCATTTGGCAGTGGGAGAGGGCCAGGGCCGGGCCAGTGTGTGCCCATCTCGCTCCTTACCACGGCAAAGGCCAGCCGCATGGGCCTCGAATTGTAGATGATGTATCTTCTCACTTGGGGCTCCAAGAGGGCACTCTCCGCCAAGCTCCTGTACTGGTCAGCAGGGACCTGTTCGGCCACCCAAGGGAAGGAGATTAGTCAACCACAGGGCTACTCCACCCCATCCCACCAGCCTGTTCCCATGGTGTGTGTGTGGGGAAGGGGGGTTAGGCCGCCCCAGGGGGCAGAATGAGTCCTGGGTGGAAATCACAGGTGCAGGCTCAGGGAGAAACAGCCATCCTGAGAAGGTGAACAGCTTGAGAGCCAGGAGAATCTTAAGGGTCTGTCCCCACAGCCTGAGACTCAGTACCTTGGGGCAGGCACAGCATGGGCTGACAGTCAAGGCACAGGCCCTGGAATCAGGAGGCCCTGGCCCAACGCCCTGCCACTCTTGTACTATGTGAACTGGAGCAAGTTACCCTTTCTCTGAGCCTCAGTTTCCCCCTCTACAAAATGCAGGGAACCCACCTTGTAGGGTTGGGTTCTTATTAAATTAGATCAGACACAAACTGTGCTTGGCACAGTGCCAGGCGCATGGTGACCACCAGATATGCAGGTGCTACTGTCAATACTGCAATATCAGCATCCACTAGCACAGCCCAAAGTCCCACATGCTCTCCCTGCCCAAACAAAAGTGTCTGCAGAACGCCCTATGAAAGTAGACCAAGGAAAAAGAATTTACCAATTAAAAATTACATTTAGGAACATGGTACAACAATATATAAACTGTACACCAGTAAGAAAACTCAACCCGAAGATGACTATTTGAGAAAGATGCTCTTCTGCTAGGTGCAGTGGTGCACACCTGTGATTCCAGCTGCTCGGGAGGCTGAGGCAGGAGGATCTAAAGTTCCAGGCCAGCCTCAGCAACTTAGTGGGGCCCTAAGCAACTTAATAACACTGTGTCTCAAAATAAAAAATGAAAAGGGCTAGGTACGTGCTCAGTGGTACAGTGCCTCTGAGTTCAATTCCCAATTTAAAAAAAAAAAATCTGTACAAAGGTGGAAAGGAAATGCAGAATGACGAAGCCAACTGGTGCCCACATGATATTAGCTCGATTCGTCAAGTCTTCATCTGATGGTGACCCAATATGTTCTGAACAAAAATGCAATTCAGCTTCAAAGAAATAAATTCTGAAATCTTCCGGGTAAATGAGCAGTGCGTGCTCCCCATCCGTGCCTGATCGACCTGGCCTTCGCAGGAAACCCTCATCCTGCTGGGGTTTGGGAAGGGAAAACTGGCCCCTGGCACTTCCCACCCACGGCAAGAGCTTCGATTTATCTATGTGCCAGAGACAGTGCAAATGTTCCTCAGACATGACTTCACTTACTCCTAACTAAACACCAATATAATAGGTATTGATAACTGATAACTGATAATCTTTTTTTTTTTTTAATTTTGAGACAGGATCTCGCTAAGTTGTTTAGGGCCTCATTACGTTGCTAAGGCTGGCTTTGAATTTGCCATCTTCCTGCCTCGGCCTCCCAAGCCGCTGGGATTTGATATTGTCTTAATCTGCAGATGAAACAGACTCAGAGAGGTTAAGCTACCTATCCAAATTCACAGAGGCAGCGGGCAGCAGAGCCGGGTCTGAGTGCAGAAGAGGGGGTCTGGGAAGCCTGGGTCTGCGTTCCCTGCATTGGGAGGTGAGTTCATACAAACTTTCCTTTGCCAGCAAGAACAGCCCCTCTCCTCCTGCCCACCTGGTGTACTCCCACTTGTCCTCGAGGCCCCACATCAAGGTCTGCTCCTCGGAGGCTCTCCCAACCCCCMACGCGGGCAGGCTCACCAATCTCCCTGGGCACATCTTCAATGCTTTGCTGCGTCGTTGTGTCCCACAGTCCTGACCCCTACAGTCCTGACCCCTCCAACCCTGTCCATTTCCCCAGTGGGCTCTGRGAGCAGTGTGAGCTTGGGGTCCTGCTTGCCTCTACACTGCTGAGCCAGCTAGGCACCTGGCACAGAAGGGACACCCCCAAACACACCTTCAGGAAGTGAGTCCATCGAGAAGACAGGCCGGTTCCCACACACCTTCCTGACGTCACCCACCACAGCAGGCAGGGGGACATTCATTAATATTGGAGAATAACTGGGTGAGAGGACAGATGGGTGGATGATAGGTAGACAGACGGATGGAAGGGAAAGCAGTGGGGGCTTGGTGAACATAGCACTTGCCTGAATGCCCCAGGTCTGCAGTTGCTCCTCTGCGGTTCCCAGGTCGAAGGCCATGGGTGCACAGGTATTGTCGACCCGGAGGACGGTRAGGACCTGGCCGTTGTGGAGCTCTGAGAAAAGAGCAGAAAGAAGCCTCATCTGGCTGCACCAGAGTCACCTCGGAGGAGGCCAGAAATGAAGGCATCACCCCACTGGCCGTGACAACCTTCTCACGACAAGGAAGGACACGGCTGTCCTCAAATCCCTAAGGACTGGACTTGATTGGGAAGCCCCAGGGAGACAGAACCGAGGCCAGAGCAAGGAAGCCACTGGGATACTACGTGAGACCAGGCAAGGAAGACCTGACCTMCCCAAACGGAAAGCTGTCCTCTCAAAGAAAGGGTGGGTGAGTCCCATCACCAGGGCCACTTAAATAGCGACCGAACAACCAACATTGAGGGGAACGATGACATCRAGGGGATTACGTAGCAGACGCTGATTCCGGCACTGCAAAGGAAGCTCAGTGAATGTCTCCTGAATTCCTAGCTGCCTCTCAGTTAGTGACAACCATCTATGACATGGAGAACAAGGGCCAGAGGACGTCCCCTCCCTAACTCCCTAAACCTGTGAATATGCTGCCTTCATGGCAAAAATTAAGATTGCAGATGGCATTAAGGTCACAGATCTTACAAAGAGAGCACATACGGGACACTCAAGTGGCCCATCATGATCACAAAGACCCTCAAAAGTGGGATAGGCAGGCAGAAGCAGGGGCAGATGTGACAAGGGAAGAAGGACAGTCATTGGCTTGGGGACGGAGGAAGAGGGCCAAGAGTTAAAGAATGCAGACAGCCTCTAGGAGCTGGGAAGGGAAACATTCTCCCAAGAGCCTCCAGGAAGGAGAGGAGTCCTGCCGGTACCACTKCGAGCTCAGCGAGCCCAGGGTCAGGATTCTGACCTCAGAACTGCAAAATAATACATTTGTGGTTTTGGAGCCTCCATGTTAGTGGCCACTTTGTAACGGGAGCAGTAGAGAATGAACACACTGGCTTCGTGGTGACCTCTCCTGTCTCAGTCTATTTTCTGCTGCTCTAACAGAATACCACAAACTGGGAAGATTCTACATAACAGAGGCTCACGCACRGTTCTGGAGGCCAGGAAGTCCCAGGTCAAGGCATCTGAAGAGCACCTGAAGCAGGKCAAGTGAGCAAGGGACAGACAGGAAAACTGGCCTGCATTCATCCTGTTTATTGGGAACCCAAGAAACCCACTCTCAATAACTCACTGCCTGACGGTGACATGCTCGGTTAGGTCAGGAGGACATGGTCCTGTGGAAGGCCTGGCCTCCAGTGAAGCACMGTGCAGGAACAAGGCTCTTCAGAAGCGACCGGATCACACGGCTCTGGTCTCAGCAGTGAACTGACCCACTGACAGACTCAGAGCCAAGTAATCTACCGGAGGTGAGGGACCTGTACGGGGTAGGCCCTCAATGAAGAGAGCAGGGTCCGGAGGTGCCCTTGGAGACCACTTCTCCTCCCAGCCCCAGCCCCAGCCTCCCCCTCCCTCTCTCTGCAGATCTAACCCACCGTGCCCTCCCCATCCTGATGTTCTGCTTCCCCAGGCCCAAAGCCGAGGATCCTGTGGCCACAGGCTRACATCTCCATCACTGTGACCCTGGATAAACCCTCCTCCTCTCAATTGTTTTTCTCAACACCGCTCACGAGGGCAGAGCCTACCCTGACCTAGTCGCCTCTTAAAGGTGCCCCCTCCTCATACTGTTATGGTGCAACTCATTTCAACGTGGTTTTGGAGGGGGCACGCAGAGCACAGCACCCCAAGCACGTCTGCTACTCACTCATATGTTAAAGGCACACATTCAGAGCCACATGGGGTGGCACGCGCCTATAATCCCAGCAACTCAGGAAGCTGAGACTGGAGGATTGCAGGTTTGAGGCCAGCCTAGGCAACTTAGCAAAATCCTGACCCAAAATTAAAAGTGAAAAGGGCTGGGGATGTAGTTTGGTGGTAGAGCATCCCTGGGTTCAAGCCCCAGCACTGCATAAATAAATAAATAAATAAATAAATAGAATCATAAGATTAAATCAAAGCATATGCAAATTAGGAAGAGTAGACAGAAACAAAATAAAGGCAGATAATAACAACAGGTCTGGATATTGAGCCCCTACTGTGTACCAGCTACTGGGTGGAGGCTTCTCAGGATTTCACCGACTCCTCTAAGCACCCCAAAGGATGGGTGCCATTAACATAGAAAAGGAAACCAAACCTCTGAAAAGAGGAACTTGCTCTGTTTTAACAGGGAAGACAGGAGTGGAAAGAGGCAAGAAGGGGAGGAGTGCACTGAGACCCAGCACAGCAGGCAGGGCCTGCGACTGACCCACCCCTCCCCCCGCACACATGGCCCTGTGGACTCCACKCAGGACCCTGAGCCCTCCCGGGCCTGGCCCTCTGCACAGCAAGTGTGTGCAGGAGCAATGCAAAGAAGTTTCATGGTGTCTGTTTGCCTTCCAAATCAAGAGTTCCCGGATTCCTGGCAACAGTATTGCTCATCTGTTCCTTAAGACAAGCACACCAAGTCCTCCACTTAGAAATACTTGTTTTTACCCTTAGGCTAAGAAAAGCTACCAAAAGGGAAAGGATGCATGTGTATTCACGTGTGTGCATGCGCACAGGGAAGAGCCCTCTTCCCTCAGAGGAACAAGAACTGGCTTGCCCAGGCTCAGCGGAGCAGCGTCTTAAATGTCCTGAAGGAAAGCTACCCCATTCCACTCCATTCCGTGGCCGTAGGTGCATGCCTAGGAACTGCTTCCCTAAGGACTGGGGTAATAGAAGAAACCCTGTTTTAAGCAGCCAGGTTTCAGACCCGCTAAGGAACCAGCCACACTCCTGTGGCCCTCCCACAAAATGGAGCGCTGCTCCCCTTTGCCTGTCCCAGCCACTCGCTCCACCTTTTATTCAACCAAAGTGTTTATTGAAGATCCACAATGGGCCAAGCCGTGGGCTGGGACCACAGACACACAGAGGCCCTGCCCTCCTGGAGCTTACATACCAGAKGGGAGGCTAGATGTGCAATGTTCATTACTCAGATAATTATCTACAGACTGTAGTAAGTACAATAGGGAGGAAAATACATCAGAAGAACACATCAGAGGGTATTGACTGGGGCAAAGTCACCTAGAAGATTCCTCATAGGACGGATATTTGCATTGAGTTCTGAAGGGTGAATGGAAACTAAGCAATAGAAAGTAGGCAGGGACAAAGTAAAGAGGCAGAAGAAACAGGAYGTACAAAGGCCCTGAGGCAGAACAGCATGGCAAAGAACAAAGAACAAGGGCAGCAACAGTCATTAAGACAGACCTTGCAAGCTGGCAAATGACAGGTTTTCATGCCAAGCCAAATGGGAAACCCTGAAGTAGAAAGTGACCCAGCTGCATATGCATTTGAAAAAGATCTCTCTGGCTGCCAGGGAGAGACCAGAGGGACAGGAAGGAGAAGATCAGTTGAAAAGCAGAGGATGATGACAGGAGATGGTGATGGAATGATCTGGACAGAAATGGCAGAAGGTAGCCAGACGTGGTGGGGCACACCTATAATCCCTGCAACTCAGGAGGCTGAGACTGGAGGATCACAAGTTCAAGGCCAGCCTCAGAAACTTTGTGAGGCCCTATCTCAAAATTAAAATTAAAAATTAAAAAGGACTGGGGGTGGGGCTGGGGATATAGCTCAGCTGGCAGAGTKCTTGCCTTGCATGCACAAGGCCCTGGGTTCCATCCCTAGCACCAAAAAAAAAAAAAAAGGACTGGGGATGTAGCGCAGTTGTAAAGGACCCCTAGGTTCAATYCTCATACCAAAAAATAAAATAAAATAAAACCTTCTTAGAAGGCAGCCTGGAAATGTACTCCAAGGTCACCCACCCTTATCTAAAGAATGTTCTGTGCCCCATCCCTGCCCCTAACCTAGAATGCTAGGTGAGTCCAGTTCTGAGGAGAGAATGAAGGGTCCTTACCTTGCCCCCACCCAGGAGGGCTTCCCCGCTGCAGGGCGCTCCAGCCAGGGGAGGAGGTGGGCAACGGGCCGGCCGCCCCGCCGGGGTCCATCTGCGGTTCACAGGCCATGGCCAGAGCCAGCTGGGTTTCTACTTCCCCTTCCTGGAGCTGCGGCTCATCCTGGAGCAGCCGACTAGGCTTCACTCACCTTCAGGAAAGAGCACAAGAAGGAACCTCAGGCCTGGGCCCGGGCGGCCGGCGCTTCCTGGAGCTCTGGGAGGCCAAAGTCACCAAGGCCCACGAGAGTCTTTTTGCTGACTCTAGTCTTCCTGATGATGCCTGGAAGATGAGGAACTAAAACATGCCCCCCAGGCCAGGCCTTGGCTAAGAACTTCCCTTCTGGTCAGGGGCCTTCTCCAGCTCTTACTCCAGAGCTGACCAGGCCCACTCAGTTTCCCTCACTGAGCAAGCCCAGGTAACCAGGCACGAGGCAGGCACATCTGTCACAGGAGCCTTGTTTACACCAAGGATCCCCCCCCCCCTTCGCTTCCCACAGACATGGCCAAGACACACAGGGCAGGGGCGGGGGCRTGGTCAGTGGTAAAGTGCTCGCCCAGCACGCATGAGGCCCTGGGTTCCTTGGCCAGCTCTGCCAGGGGGAAAACACAGGGGAAAATGAGGTGATGGGAAATTCAAATTTAGTAGGTAATAATACCTAGGTTCTCTGTCAGAGGCGGTGGAGGTTTGCGTTCAAGAACATGGACTCCAGAGCCAGGCTCACTGGGTAAATGGCGGGCTCACACTCCACCTTGGGCAAGTTCAACCTCAGAGCTTCAGCTCTTCCAATCACAGAACCTTCCCTGCAGGGTAGCTGCAAAGACTCAATCGGTGATTCGCATGAAAGACACACAGCAGCATCGGAACAAAGAACCTATCCCATGAATATCAGCTCTACCAAAAAAAAAAACAAAAAGCCGGCACAGTGGTGCACACCTGTGATCCCAGCAGCTCAGAAGGCTGAGACAGGAGGATTGCAAGTTCAAAGCAGCCTCAGTTGGCAAAAGTAACTCAGTGAGACTCTGTCTCTAATAAAAAAACAAATAAGGCTGGGGTTGTAGCTCAGTGGTCCAGTGCCCCTGAGTTCAATTCCCAGTACCACCACCCCCCCCMAAAAAAAAACCTTTTCTATTGCTATTTTCAGATTTAACACAGTTGCTRTTCCTAAGTCAAGAATTTAGTTTTGAGCTTCCAGGCAGCCAAAGCAAACATGCAAATGTTGTCAATAAAATAGTCATCTAGAAATAGGAAAAAAAAAGATAGTGTAGTGATCAATGTGCCTTCCTGGCTACAACCCATCTTGGAAAGGTTTCTAAGGCTTCCAGGGCCAGGTCACTGAGAGGATAGCGAGTATCACCCTTGGCCACCTTCATAGGCAAAACACAGGGACCCACTGGTGGATGTTTCCTTGGTAAAAACCTGAATCTGCGTGCCGTCTGCTATGACTGCAACCTGCACTGTTCACCTCTGTTATGTGTCCAGCTGGGAACCTGAGAATCGCCCCTTGCCAAGGAAAACTACGCCAGAATCCCATGGGATGGCACAGCAGCCCTGCTAAATGTCTTGATGAAAAAGTCCACTAAAGTTGTCTTTGTATAGGAGTGATACTGGGGATGGAATTCAGGGGAGCTCTACTGGTAAGCCACATCCCCAGCCCTTTGTTGAATTTTATTTTGAGACAGGGTCTTGCCAAGTTGCCAAATCTAGCCTCAAACTGTGATCCTCCTGCCTCCCGAGTTGCTGGGATTATAGGTGTGCACCAGGGTGCCCAACAACTAGAATCTCCTTTTTGCTACCATGGTTGGCGATATTGGGGAAAACACAAAGTTCCCAGTCGATACACATCTGCTTGATTCCAAGCTGGACCCTGATCCTCCTGTGCTCACGACCTTCTGCTTCTCTCAGTACTTTTTAATAGAAACAGCTACGCAATTTGTGAGGCCCAGTACAAAATGAAAACTCAGGGCCCCTGGTTCAGAAATGGTGAAGGGTTGCAAAATGTTGACAGCAGAACGTCAAGCCAAATTTGGGGACTTTCCTAAGTAGGGCGCCTGGAGTGACTGTGGAGGTTACATGCACTTGAAGCTAGCCCTGACATTAAGCTGCAGAAAGTCATTTGGGAGCCCCTTCTCCCAACCAAGAATATATAAAAGATGCACTTTTCACTAACAATTCAACCTGCCTGTGCCACACTCAAATGCCACAAAGCAACAAAATGTGAGGAAAAGACTGAAGACCTTGGAGCCAGAAGGCCTAAACTCAAATCCCTGCTCAGTCATTCACACGCTGTGACATTCGCACCCAGCCTAAGCACTGCTAAAATGGGGGTGCGGGGCCTACCTCACTAAGCTGCTATGGGATGTAACAGCACATGCCAAATGACCTCCAGTGGTCCACCCACCATGAGGCCCCTTTCCTCAACACGTTTCTCCTGCTTCACAGGCACAAAACTGAGGTCACATGTGTGAAGTGATCTGTACAAAGTTGGGTGTCTAACAGCCAAGAAATCAGAGAAGAGCTCCCACTATCCAGCTCTGGAGTCCAAGGCCACAGTTTCCAGGCCTTTGCACCTTTGGACCCTGGTCTGACTGTCTCTTCCTGAAACTGCCTTTAAAATGAGTGGGTCAGGGCTGGGGTTTGGGCTCAGTGGTAGAGCRCTTGCCTAGTGCGTGAGGCAGCAGGCTCCATCCTCAGCACCACGTAAAAGTAAATAAAGGTATCGTGTCCATATACAACTTAAAAATATATTTTTAAAAAAATGAGTGGGTCAGGAGAGACCGCATTTCCCAGGCCTGATCTAGAAACAAATTCCACTCAGATGGAAAGCTCTCTGCTGGGAGGGCAGGGTCTCCCCTCATTACCTAACCTGAGTCCTGGGCTACAGCAACACTCACAAATCTGACAAGCATTTACCAGCCAAACTCATCCTGCCTCACTTCCTTCCTCTTACTTTGTACCCCAAGAGGCATGAAAGCAACAAAAATAGATGAACCCACAACCAATGAAGCCCTTCTCTGCTTAACTTGATCACCGACTAGGCCCACGAGGCAGAGAATGTCCCATCACCCAGGCTCCAGACAAAACCCAGGGACACAGCAGCTGGGAGCCTGTAAGTCAGAGGAACTGTTCTGGAGTCTCAGACAAGCCTGGCAACCTAGTATCACGGAGGAACCACACACGAGCTGGAGTTGCTCAGATCTGAGGTCTCCTTTCAGACTGCACAGGAGGTTCCATTAGTTGCAAAATCCCACAATGAGGTACTGTCTTTCCAGGGTTGGGGGAGGCGAGTGTTGGCGGGGAAATCACAGCACCCTAGTTGGTCTATCAGCCACCTTCGGAGTCCCAATCAGCAGGCTTCATTCATTCACCTGAAGCTGTTCTCTGATGGCTAAAAGTAACCTGCCCAGTCCTACTACTTCCCACCTGTCTGACCTTGAGCAAGTTACTGGACTTCTCTCTGCCTTGGTATCCTCATGTGTCAGCGGAGATAATGGTGGTGACTTTAGACTGTTGCGAGGTTTAGCTTTCACAGGCATAAATCACTCTGAATAGCACTCTGAATAGCACTTCAGCAGTTGCTGAAGGAATATAGCCCTAAGAACCTTCTAGGGCCAGGCCCTGAGCATGAAACCAGAGATAAAAATCTAAAGTCCCTGTCCAGTCCTCCCTGCTGAGGATCACTATCTGAGGGAAGGACAAACTAAGAAAGAAAATTACCAGACAAGTAGGGAAAGGAGGGAGCTTTGAGGTGGGAAGCGTTCTCCAGGCTTTCTGGGAGAGAAGGGGGCTCCTTGGCTTGGCAAAGGTGAGGGGGAAAGAAGCTAGTGAGCAGGACCTGCCCATCAGAGGAGGGCAGGGCTGCTCCGGCCCCCCACCCCCAGCACCTTGGGCATCCAGATCCGGAGGCAGCAAAGGACAGGAGGGGAGCTGGCAAGACCCCAGGGGCAGAAACTAAACTGTCACCCAGAGCCCTGTACGAGGGCCCCCTCCCACTCAGCCCGGCTTCAGTCCCAGGTGACAGTGGGAGAGTCAGACACCAGGATGGAGGCGCACTGAGGGAGGGAACAGAGCTTTGGGACTCCTGCCACTAGTTCCAGAGTCCTGGCCTCTGGGCTCCCTCTGGGGATTCTGTGGCTAACCAGACCTTCCACTCACCTACGGCCGCCCCTGCGCACCAGCTGGATGCCCAGAGGTCCCCAGCTCTGTTGACACAGCCCGGCCTCCCTAAGAGCGATGTGCTGGCCTGAGATTCCTCACAGGGAAAGAGAAACGACCCCGTTTTCCTCCCTCGGGTCAGGTTTGTTTGTGGAACTGGAAATCCTACAAGAGATCACAGGAGGGCCCGCCCCAGAAGTTTTGGGGTGGACAAGCCTGGAGTAAATGAGACAAAGCCCCCCATTTTACAGATGCGGAAATTAAGACTCGAAAAAGAAAGTGAGCCATTCGGGATCAAGGCGCCAGTCGGGGACGGACCTAGAACTGAAACCCCGGCTCCTCCAGGCCCAGGAGGTCCCACCGAACGTGGTGGCCGTGGCCGGGGCAGCGGTGCCTTGCCCTGGTCTCTGCCCTTGCCTCTAGTCCAGGTCAGCTGCCTGGCGGTGGGCGGGGGTCTTTTTCACCCCAAAAAACACCCCCGCCCCAGTCCGCGGGCTCCGGGCCGACCCGGGGAAGGGCCCCAGGAGCGCGCTGCATCTCCGAGTAGCCGAGCCAGCCCGGCCCGGGGCGCGAGCGCAGGCCGAGACGCCGGCGCCGCCCGGCACCAACCCGGGACCGCGGGCGCACGGGCGCGCGCACACTCACCGCCGCCGCGGCCGCCGCCGCCCGGAGACGCGGAAGGTCAGGGGCGCCGCGCCCCTCCGTGCCGCAGCCTCCCGACGCCACCGGCCCGCGCCCGCCCGCCCCAGCGCGCGGCACCGCCCTCCCGGGCCCGCCCCCGTCACCCGCCCGTCACCCCACCGGGAGGAGCCGCCCGCCGGGCCCGCCGCGGGCCTGGAGGGAACGCGTGCCGGGCCGCGGAGCCCAGCTGGGAGGCGCGTTTCATCAGCCCRGCTACCCAGGGACGCCAAGGGCCTCCGCGCCCGCGCCCACCGCGGCGTCGGGACCAGGGGCTCTGCCGTGCACCCGCGCCGAGACCTGCGACATGTTTCCCCGGTAAAGCAGCGGCGGACCTGGGAGGTCAAGTCCCCTATGACACAAGTCACAGGGTCCCGTGGATGAGGCAGTTTAAAGGACCAGAAGTTATCAGGGACCTGTTTTTAATGAAAAATTAGGAGTTTGGGGATCACGCTGCCTGAGTTCCAATCCAGGCCTCTCCACTGATTATATCATCTTCGTAAATAATGTAACCCTCCCGCCTCTTGTTTTCCTAAAAATCATTAATTATAACGATGTCATAGGGTTGTGTGAAGATTTAATGAGATAATCTCTGTGAGGTGTTCGAAACAACCAGTCACCTTGTTCTGCTGGTATTCACAAGGGCTACGTACTGTGTCAGCCAGCACCCCCTCCATCATCACTCAAAATTGCAAAAGGGTCTGCAATGAAAAGTTAAGTGCCCCCTCCCCTGAGTAGAGCACTAACCTTGAGTATTTTTCCTTAGAGCCCACAAGTAAGTACATGTCTTTACAGCAGATTCTATTTTACGGGGGATCCTGCTCTTCTATTCAACAGAGTTCCTGGCTGGGTATTCATCTCCACTCTGCTTTCTTTTGAAGGGGTTCATAAACTTCCATGCCAGTGTAGAAAGGGTCTTTCCTGGCCCCTTCCTCTTTGTGGACGTGTTGGGTGGTTCTCTCTCCTGCTGACTGAATGTGCTGGATGCTCATAGTCACATTGTTGCAGGCACGCCACAGCCTGCATTTCTACAGGTGGGTTTCCACACATTTTTAATTTCAGCAGATGCTGTCAGATTGTTGGGGGAACCCTCAGACCACAGGACTACTGGCCGCAAGTTCAGCCAGCCCAGAAGCAGAGTGCCTGGAGGCAGGGAGCTGAACTTGAAAACCTAAATGGCAGACAGACAGCTCCCAGGCTCCCTCATTCACCAGGCAAGTGAGGGTCCAGGCAGTGGGCTACTAAACATGTAGTTAATTTATTTTTGGCATTGGGGGCTGGGGATATAGCTCAGTTGGTAGAATGCTTGCCTTGCATACACAAGGCCCTGGGTTCTAATCCCCAGCACTACAAAAAATAAAAATAAAAAGAAGTATCAATCATCATTTGGTCTGGGGCTGTGGCTCAGTGGTAGAGCGCTCGCCTAGCATGTGTGAGGCACTGGGTTCAATCCTCAGCACCACATAAAAATAAAATAATAAAATTGGCATTGAGTACCTGCTGAATCATATAGGCATTATATTGGACAGTAGTGAGCAATTTAGGGGCATGGAAAGAAGTGACCCAAGGATGTAGGAGCTTTACTAAATGCTCATAGGATGTTGAAAGGGATCCTGCAACAAGGATCCCCATCTCGCTAAACCCTGCCTCTCTGCCAAGGCCTAAGGCCTACCTCCTCCATAAGGCCAGAGCTAGTCCTCCGGTGCTTCTGGCTGGGCTGCCTTCACACTTCATCCTCACTGCTGGTCACTTCACCATGATTCATGTTGACACATCAGCATCTACACCACAGAGACACAGAAGAGCCAGCCGACCAGGCTCTAATAACTGACAGTGAACTTCAATCTCTTTATGGAAGGGAGATACTGCCTGCCCAAGTGGGAGTCTGAAATGGCGAGGTGCCGAGCAGAACGTAGTCCATGAAAGTGAGGCACATTCTTGGCGAGCAAGGCATCGTGTGTGTTGCATCCCTGAACCTCCTGCATGTGACAATCCTGGCACTATGCCCGGAGGGAGTGGGAGCTCCATGTAGAATGGAGAAAGGGCAATAAAATCCCAAAGTTGGAAAGCCGACGTCAGCTGCGACAGCTTGATGGACTCACAAGGGCCTTTGTGGTGATCTCAAGCTGCTACCCACCCCAGCCTACCCAGGACTGACCTTTACCCACCCTCCTCAACAAGTCCCTCAATACCCGAAGTTCCAGGATCACAGCCTCTCAGTTCCTCCTACACCTCATGTTCTCTCTCACTTCCAGTTCTGTGGTTGCCATCCCCTGTCCATCTGGAAGGTTATCCCCAAACCCTACCCCACCTCAGCACCTGACTAACCAGCTCATTCTCAGGGCTTAGCCCTTTCCTGTCCCAGGCAGTCCCTCTTCTCACTCATCTAACCTACACCTATATCCTCTAACATGGTGTGGTCATTGTCACTTCTCCTTTCCCAAAAAGAGAATGAACCTTTTGGACACAGGCTGCTGCTGCCCTTGGGCAGAGCTGTCCCAGCACTCTGCCCTCAGCAGGTGTTAAATGCATCTGCTGCAGTGAATGAACACACACAATGAAATCAGAAGGGCCTCAACTACAGGCAAATCCAAATAACCAGGAGCCCCAACCTTAGCCACTCTTCTCAGAAGGCTCTCCTCTCCCTGCTGTGTTTACAGAAAGGGCTACAGATTTCCTGTCTGAGGGCTAGCAGCCAACACTATTTGGCAACCTGGATGAAGTAACAGAATGAACTTCTTTCCAGCCTGGCAGAACCTTAAATTGTTGCAGCAGATGGTAGAGGAGGGAGCCTCAGGACTGCTAGGTGAGTATGTGAAAGGCAAAGATCAAAAACTAGATCTTGTGTTTTGGAATTGGTCTGCCAATTACATATTCACTGACTTTTAAAAACATCACTTGACACGAAACGTAGCCACAGCCTGTACAAACTGAACTAAATCATACAGCAATTCAGGAAAGGAAGTCAAGCATACCCAGGTTCAAATACAAGCTTTGGCACTAATTAGCTGTGACCTTGTGCAATCGACTTGATCTCTCTAAGCTTCAGTCTCCTCATTATAAAATAGAAAAAATAATATCTACCTTAGAAAGGTGGTGAGATAATTAAGTTATGAATATAAAGCACCTTGAATTGTTACGGATGTTCTTCAATGTGAACTACTTAAAAATTATTTCCAAAAGTGTGTCTTAAAGAAACTTCTATGGCTAGTGACTCCATGAGATCCATTTCAATTCCTGGAATTCACATCACCAAATAATGAATTCATCTCCAGGATATCCATGATGTAGATTGACAGCACCRGAGAGCTTGGGACTCAAACACACAGCTGTCCTTGTCAGGAGGTGTGCTGGGGTTAACACAAATCACATGCTGGTTATTAGAAAACTGGGTCAAAACCAGAAGAAAAATGACTCTGAATTCCTGTCAGAAGGCCAACAATCCACCCAGGGGGTGTCAAGGGTCTGTTTCTACACTATATACAGAAAGATAAGTGCCAGGGACAGGAATAAAGGGTAGGGTGGAACATTGGGAGAGAAGAGAAGGACAACTGAAGGTAACTGGGCTGGGCACAGTGGCACACACCCATAATGCCAGCTTCTCAGGCGTCTGAGACAGTAGGATCCCAAGTCTGAGGCCAGCCTCAGCAACTTAGTGAGAAACTATCTCAAAATATAAAGGGCTAGGGATATAGTTCAATGATAGAGTGCTTGTCAGCATGCACAGGATCCRCTGGGATCAATTCCCATACCTCTAATATTAATAATAATACCAAAAAGGAAATTGAGCTTTTAACTAGAGACTAGATTGTTTTCTCAACCTTAAAAACAAGACAACAGTAGGCAACCCAATCATGCACCCTGCACCCCAGCCAGCTCCTCTCCTGATCTTCAACTGCTGCCATCTGTTCTAAAACATTGCCACTCTTCCCTTTATAAATTATTTTCAAGAAGAAAGGGGGGTTGCCTGTCCCCTGACTCTCCAAGCCTACCCCTCCCCATCAATCATCCCCACAAACACAGTAAACCATGGCCTTCACCTCACACTTGACCTAGGAGCCAGTCAGTGTCATTTAAAGTTAACAGCCAGAGAAGGCAGATGTTAGCATCATGATCTGTCAGCTTCCTCTCCAAAAAACCACTAGACTGGCCAAAACATTCAGTAAACAGCGTGCCTAGCCGGCCTCTTAAGACCTGCCTATTTGCCCAGGGAAGAGAAACAAAAGCAAAACTAGAACTGCCTGCTTGTATAGAAGCTATTTCAGTCAGTCATTTCACTGAAGTGACGGGAGATCAGTCGACAGGAGGAAAACACTCTGACACCTGCCAGATTATCTCTGAAGGAAAGGAAAAAATAAAAGGTGAAAAATGAGGGGCCTGTAGAAATCATCAAAGCACATCCTTTCCTTCAGACAGCTGAAGTTGACTCCCAACACCATCAATCTTCTTGAGTAGAAAGGCCAAATAGGCCAGAATGAGAAAGAAAAGCAGAATGTTAGTTGCAGGCCTCACTCAACCAGTCCCAGAAGCTCACCAGGGTTAGAGGAAGCTCAGTACCCAGAGCCTAAGACAGAGCATGGTAAGTTTTGTTTTTCTGGTGCTAGAGCTGAACCAGTGCCTCCAGCCCACATGCTAAGCAAGTACTCTCTATTTTGCGACAGTCACCCTAAATTACCCAAGCTGGCCTTGAAYTTGTGATCCTCCTGCCTCAGCCCCTACAGTAGCTGGTATTACAGGCAAATACCACCACACCCAGCAAACAAGGCAAGTTTTTGCTTGCAACCTGCAGGCTGCCCTTGACATCAGACTGACACTTCTTTGCTCTGTGACCTTAAATATCCTCTAAGCCTCTGGGCCTCAATTTTC